GTGGCCCTCAGCCGACCGCGCCTGACTGAACCTTCTTGCCAACCGGTCTCTTCCATAATCGCCCAGTCCTTTCGACGCCCTTGTCTCTGAACTCATGCCTTCTCCTAATATCTTGTTCACCTCTTTCACTGTTTTCACTTCTGCCATTGTTGTCTATAGTCCACACTGCTTGCGCTCTGGTTTTCACTTTTTTGCCTTCTTTCATAACACTATGTTTCAACCCAAGGGTCAGCGCTGGTGTGCGAGGAATACCGCTACCTGATGGACGGAGTAGAGCTGGCCGAAAGCTTCAACTTCAACCCCCACAAATGGCTACTTGTCAACTTCGACTGCTCTGCCATGTGGTTGGTGACATGTTTTATATTGTAACATCACAGCATGCTTTATGAGGCAGTGGCATCCGATTAGTAATTTCTAACCAGCGCTTTTTTTCAGGGATACGAGTTTTGAAAAGCAAGTAAAATCGTAACCATATATGTGTATGTGCTCATCGCCATATGATTGTTGAAACCATTATCACCCGATACCGAAGCACAGACCTTCAAGGAAATGGTTGTTTGGGTAACCTGGGATCTATGGACCCCGACGGATTCCATGGATGAGTTTCATAAAAATAAATTTTAACATTATTTTTTGCTTAAAAAGGATTTTGTTGTTGTTTAGGTTATATACTTTAAAGTATACACATGGCATGCAAAGTTAAGTTTATGAGAATATTTACCCCGAGTTTTCCATATCTAGGAGTTGAAAATCAGTCTAAGCAAAGCTAAATCGGCCCTTAACCATTCACTAACTCATTTAGTTAGCATTTTTATACATACAATCCTCAACGTTACGAAACTTTCCTGCATCGGAATGACGGTGATGTGCGGACCCTTAGGCGTTATGACTTACAACTAAATATTTTAGTCAACATCTATCAGTAACAACTACCAGAAATTTTGGAAAAAAGTTCACTTTCCGATGAAAAAATGCATTTAAATTTCATAAAATCTTTTATTTTTAAAGAATAAACCCTCTCTTTCATTCTCCGTCTGCGCCCTGCGTCTTCTCGCCGTTTTGCTTCGTTGTGCCTTGGGAGACGCAAAGCTATAAGGGCCTCGGGAAGACATTTTTGGCCATGACGCGTGCACGACGCTGAAATGAACTTCATGACGCAAAAAAATCTATGGAGCTTATAGAGCGATTATTGTATTAAATCCAATGTAATGTGCAATTAGAAGAATTATGCAAACGTAAAGAAATGAACTGATACCAAACGCACACTTCTAGAACTGATACCATACCCGCAATTTTAGAGTTTCTAGAAATCAACGAATCAAGCATTTGGGAAGGAGCGGTTGGTCACGTCAAGAGCGACGACGCCTTGGCTTCGTCCGATGTCAGTCTCCACATGGACAAAGTGCTTTATTTAAACTCAAGATACAATTTACCTCCAAACGAAAGTGAATCCAGTCCTTCGTATTTAAGTAATAGATAATGTATGATGACTTCAGATTCCAGCTCTTTGTTGGTGTTGCTAGTAACTCAAAAGTATTTAGAAAGATTTAGGTGATGGTCCTAATGTTTTTCTCTTAGATCTTGCAGAACCAGTACACATTAAGCAATTCATGTCTTAAAATATATACATATACAGCATATGAAGCACAGGTACTAATAAATTTTCCCGATCGCTGAAGTGCAGGAATAGATACATGATTCACTATCAATATTTTCTCTGCCCCACAGGATAAAGAACGCACATGATGTGGTCGACGCCTTCAATGTCGACCCGTTGTACCTCAAACACGACCGTCAGGGCCAGCAGCCTGACTACCGGGTAGGCGCTTGAGGAGAGTCCGAGATTTCTATCAGTATCACACACACACACACACACACACACACACACACACACACACACACACACACACACACACACACACACACACACACACACACACACACACGCACGCACACGCACACGCACATATATAAATATATATATATATATATATATATATATATATATATATATATATATATATATATACACATACATATTTATATGTTTATATATATATATATATATATATATATATATATATATATATATATATTATATATATGTACATGTTTATCTATCTAGATATCTATGAATGGTAAAACGCTCTTCCATGTTGATACTATGGTAGAAGAACCCACAATGCATTGAAATAAATCGTTTTCGATTTTTCTACTTATGTATCTCTCTTTCTCTCTCTCTCTCTCTCTCTCTCTCTCTCTTTATATATATACATACACACACACACACACACACACACACACACACACACACACATATATATATATATATATATATATATATATATATATATATATATATATATATGTGTGTGTGTGTGTGTGTGTGTGTGTGTATGTATGTATGTAGAGAGTAACAGAGGAATGGGGAAAAAAGTGATATATATATGCTTATATGTATATGTATATATATATATGTATGTATACATACACACATGTACATCATATATATATATATATATATATATATATATATATATATATATATATATATATATATATATATATATTTATATATATATATATATATATATATATATATATATATATATATATATATATATGCTTATATCTATCTATCTGTCTATCTGTCTATATATCTATCTATCAATCTATATAGAGAGAGATGTGTATGTATATGTATACATATACTATATATATATAGTTATGTACGTATGTACGTATCTATCTGTCAATCTCTCTCTATATATATGTATATCCCAATTTCGCCGGGGAAAATGAATAAAAAATTGGGAAAATGCTGTGCTCATTTATATTTTTTTGTGAAATGTATCTGCACATAGATGGCTTTGCTTGTGACCTTAACTAATTTCACCTTTCCTTGAATTAGCGGGAAAATTTATTTTCTACTATTGCCATGAATATCGATGGTGTTATTTTTATTATAAACATTATAATTACTATAATATTATAAACATTAGTAACAACAAAATAACGTAAAATATTTTCGTAAATCAAAGAAAAGGGCAAACAGACAAGACAGGCAGTACTCGCAATTGGCTCATTGGTGACCTAGTACAAGTGTAGCCATCAATCGTTAAAAACAGTTAAACAAGTGGGCAGAGAGAGAGAGAGAGAGAGAGAGAAAAGAGAGAAAAGAGAGAGAGGAATGGACAAAAAGATCGAGAAGATGGATAGATAAGTAGATAGAGAAAAAGACAAAGAGCTTACTTTTATTTATTACCTACAGTTCAGTAACCTAATTTCCCTCTTCAGCACTGGCAGATCCCATTGGGCAGGCGTTTTCGTTCTCTCAAGCTGTGGTTCGTCATGCGGTTGTATGGCAGGCAAGGGCTCCAGGACCACATTAGGAAGCAGGTAACTCACAGCTACATTGTATTTAGATCATGAGAGTGATGGTGCGTGTATGTGTGTGTGTTGTTCAGCGTGAGGATGGGCGCGGGGGCGGGGTTGGTGGAGAAGCCGAATTGCATCACGACCGACTTCTGGCGGTTGATAGTGACGTGAATTGCAGTGGTACAGGAGAGGAGATTGTCGAGGGTGCGCTGGATGCCGGAGTGGTCAGGGCAGGAATTGTCAATGGCGGCGGAGATGATCGTGGTGTAGTCCACCAGGTCAAAGGCTTTCTTGAAATCTGTGAAAATACTCTTGGTGGAGGATTTAGGCCTGTCGAAGTGGGCAAGAACGAAGTCGAAGAAGCTGAGGAGGCAGTGTGTAGTAGAGGAGGATCGTCAACGCTGGGCGTCCTGGTAATCTCAATCGGCGACAAAGCTTTCATACAGCAGACTGGGCAACGGAGTAATGACGGTGGGTCGTAGTTCGCCGAATGAGGCGGGCTTGGGGTTTTCCCGATGGCGATGACAAATGCGGAATTTCATTGTGATGGAAACTTAGACAGTTGCAGTGAGGCGCTAACTATGACGAGGTGGTCCAGGAGAGGAGGGTGTTCCATTGCGAACTCCTTGATGATGAATGAGGGCAGGTCAAGGGGGGTGGTGGCTCTCTTGACGTGGATTTTTTCCAGCTTCTGAAACACCTGAAACTGACTGACAGGTGGAGCAAGTGAGTGGGCCAGCAGGCGGGTGGTATCCAAGGGGGAGTACTGCTGAGGCGAAGTGGTCATTGAGAGCCTCTGCTACTTCACTGGGGCTAAGGTTGCTGGTGCATGGAAACACAGCTCCCGAACTTTACCATTGGTTGGGCTGCAGGTGTTGTAGTGTATTGTGGTAGAAGGATTTCTTGGCTATTTTTATTTCCCTTATGATTGTGTTGCGGAGTGATTTGTAGGAAGTGATCTTGAGGAGGCTTGATTTCTCTGTTGAATGAGGCGTTTGATGCGGGCCCTGATCCAAGAAGGCAGGTTCGATGGGTGTGTTCTGAATGTCTTTTCCGGAAAGAAGTGTTGGAAAGCCGTAATGACGGTCGAGAGAGCATAGTGCCACTTATCCTCCACATCAACAGCGGTAAGAACGTCTGCCCACGGGTGTTGGGTAATTCACTACCCGAACTGTATGATAGAAGACTGTGTGAGTAGCCTGTATTTCCTGGTTTTGGTCTGCTTTGGCTGAGAGACGGTGGGTGAAGGCAGTCATAACACTGAGACGTGTCTGCTGCGGCCGATAGGAGAATATGATAGAGGAGGCTGGTACCAGTCATGTATATCTGTGAGGGTCAAATCCAGGGTTCTTTATTCATAAGTGGGAAAGTTGACTACTTGTAAAAGTTGAAGCTCATTTTGCATGTCAAAGGTGTCTATTTCATTAAAATCACCACATGTAATAAATTTGCATGCCGGATATCGCACACGCAGGTCAGTGGTATGGGTCAGGTAGCTAAGTAGCATCTGTTTGGTGGGGATCCAGAACACAGCAGATGAAGGACGCGGCGAGGGAATGGTGAGGGGGGGGTGGGGTTACCCGCACCCACAACACATCCAGGTCATCCGAAACTTCCACGTT